ATTCACTGATGCAATACAGAGCTGCCAGTTCTCCCCGGAGAGTTCCATACGCACACAACCGAGACCCGCTGACATCACATGTCCGTGCGCGCTCGGCTGTCGGTCTGGTCAAAATACCTCAAGTAAGAGTACGGATAACAGAGCGCGAATGAGGCAAAACCGGTAATGCGTCAAAAGGCGCGCGCATTTTCAAATATGCTTTAAAGTGTAAAACTGAAATTGTACATTTAACAAGGATTTTATACTCTATAAATTAAAAGAGGGAGACATGACAGAGTATAAATAGAATGAAAGTGAATTGTTTAATTAAAAATAGCATTGTAACTTGACAGCTCTAATGTGTCAACAAATAACTAGGTTATGTTATAACAATAATGACACAAGAAATTAATTTTTTATTTCATTAAAAGGATATATAATTTTAATGCAATCTTTCACCATTTACCTCTTATCATTTATATTTTATTCTAAAATTAAAATTTAATAATAAAGTTTTCGTACAAGGTAATCAATCACACACAGATAAAGCTCGTTTGAAACAGTGTAAACACAGATGATACACATGGGCATGCAACTTACGTTTTTGCCTCAATTTGGCGGCCCAAATCACCGATCGTTACCCTGTTGTCCGTATTCTTACTTGAGGTAGTACTCTGGGTCTGATAGAAGTGAGCGGACGTATGTTTTACACCTCCTTCCCCACCAAGCTTAGCAACAAACCGGTTTTGAGGCTCATACAATTTCTTCTGCCAAGCGTTGCCAGCGAAAATGCTTTTCTGAATTTCGCTCTACGCGATTAAGTCGACTGCGGCGTGTTGCTTTCGCTCGACGCGATATTTTTTTCTGAGACAGTTTTTTATAAAACGTATATGATATTTATATTAATAAAATATTTTAACATTATGTATCAGTAGAATATGATTTTCACTTTAATGTATAAAATAAGAATAAATTAATAAAAATTATATATCGTTAATAAATTTTATTTTGTTTTATGAAAATAAAACATTACTTTTGACGCACATACATCCATGTACATTATTATCACTGGCAGTCAGTTTCCAAACAAGACGTAAATGCATTGTCATTTGACATTAACGAAAATTTTTGATACGACTTCTAATAAAAGTTTAATATGATGACACAGTAAAAGACTCTGTTTCTCACGTTTAAAGAGTTATATTTCTTTGACGTAATAATCGTCCATGCTTCTAATGCTAATGAAATGTTTTTGCTCTTCTCCCCTCTTCGTTTCTGCCTTGATACGATGCGCATTAGCGAGTATACACGTCTGTATTTATTACGTTTTACGTCTCGTCCGAAAGCAGTCGTCTGTTCATTATCACGGCATCATGATGGAGTTACCTCAGCTATTTTCGTCACCTTTTGCGCTGTTATTGACTACTTTATTTCTAATTGGCATTGTGAAGATTGTGCCTTACATGAATCTTGCGTACTTTTCCTGGAAGAAAAAAGGCATTCCTTACCTGCCAAATTCATGGTCGTCTTTCATAGTTGGTTGGAAACTGTTCAGGGGTCACTTAAGTATTGTTGATTACAGTCATTATATATACAATTACCTTCCGGACGCTAAGTATGTTGGAATATCGGAATTTGCCATGCCTGTTATACTTTTGCGCGATCCCGAATTGATAAAGGACATCATGGTGAAGGATTTTGAACATTTTCCGGATCATCGCAGTTTCGTTAACGAAGAAGTGGAACCACTATTTGCTAAGAACATTTTTTCTCTGCGCGGCGACCGCTGGAAAGAAATGAGGAACACGTTGAGCCCTTCTTTCACCGCCAGCAAGATGAAATTTATGTTCGAACTGATATCGAAATGTTCGTCTGACTTTGTTGATTACCTGGTCGAGCATCCCGAAATTTGTCTCGCCATTGAGACGAAACAGGCTTTTCGACGATACACCAACGATGTGATTGCCACGACGGCTTTTGGCATAAATGTGAATTCAATGAAAGAGCAAAACAATGAATTCTACACAAGAGGTGTGGAGGCCACTACATTTTCCGTTGGAATACTGGCTATGCTCAAGTTCATATTTTTACGTTTCTTCCCGCGATTTGCCAAGTTGCTCGGTTTGTCCTTTATCCCATTGGCCACGTCGAAATTCTTCAAAAAGGTTGTCGGAGAAACGATCGAGGCTCGAGAAAAACACGGTATCATCAGGCCGGATATGATTCACTTATTAATGCAGGCTCGCGACAAGGAAAATTCTCACAGGATGACATTGGATGATATTGTTTCACAAGCTTTCATCTTTTTCTTTGCCGGTTTCGACACATCCGCAACGCTCATGTGTTTCGTCGCTCACGAGCTGGCTGTTAATCGTGATATCCAAGATCGCTTGCGTAAGGAATTGGAGCAGCATCTTAGTGAAGAAAACGATACGATTTCTTACGAATCACTGTCGAAAATGGTTTACATGGACATGGTGGTCTCTGAGGCTCTTAGAAAGTATCCACCGGTACCTTCCATTGACAGGCTTTGCTTCAAGGATTATGAATTACCGCCGTCACAACCAGGCTACAAGAGCGTAACTATCAAATCGAATGACGTGATGACGATACCTGTTTATGGCTTGCATCACGATCCAAAGTACTTTCCGAATCCACAAAAGTTCGATCCCGAACGATTTAGCGATGAAAATAAGGACAACATTTTTCCGTGCACTTACTTGCCGTTCGGACATGGGCCTAGAAAGTGTATCGGTAATCGGTTTGCTCTCATGGAAACAAAGCTTTTGATAGCTCATCTCGTACGAAAATTTATTCTCAAGACCACGGAGAAGACTGTTGAACCTGTCGTGTTTGATAAAAAAGAGTTTGCGTTGAAACCTGTGGGCGGATTTTGGATCGGTTTAGAAAAGAGAAAAACGTAATACACTGGAATGTTTTACGATATAGCTGTGTTTAGAAGTTTTTTTGTTATTATATTTTTTTTGCGGCATATCTTTCACGTATGTGTAAATTATTGTTAGAACTGATGAACGTTTATAAGATTTATTATCACCAATTCAAACGTCAAGTGCTTAATATTACTTATTTCATTTTGCATTATATTATCGAGTTGCTAATGAGAAATGAGAAGACTAAATATTATAATGAATGACTTGCATAAACTTTTTTTGATTACATGAATTGTTGTTTAAAAACTTATATAATTTTTATTTTTTTTAATTTGTACTTTTATTTTTGCTAAAGAGTATAGTAGAAATATTCAATATGTTTATTATACAATACTTTTTGTATATAAAAGAAGATTGTTAATGAATTAAAATATGTGCATACTCAAAAATAAATTAATTTTTTAAAATAAAAATATAGCAATACTTTTGACGCACACATACATATACATTATTATCATTGGCAGTCAGTTTTCAAATAAGGCGTGTATGCATTGTCATTGACAATATAATGTCCTATACATTTTCTTTATTAATTTATTGAACACATTACACTATCAAAGTTCTGTTTATTGTTTTTTTTTTATACATAATATACTGTTTGTATGACATAAATTACGTATCTTGTCTATTCACTTCAGCCTTAACAAAATCAAATTAAATTTGTTATCATTTGCACGCGCATGCTAGCATGTCAGTGTAAGCAGTGCCAATGCAGTTTTAATAAGGATAATAATAATAATAATAATGAATGTCTTAATCACTTATTATAATTTGGCAGATCCAAAATAAAGATATGCTTGCTATATAATATTTGAATATGCTATCGATTAAATTTATTAGAAATTCGATTAGTCGCGACATTATTGAGATGCATTTGATGTATTCTTGAAATCGATTCTCATATATACATATATATAATATCTGTCTTGTTTCTGATATATTTGATTTAATTGGAATAGAATAAAGTGATTAAAGCGGTTAATTTCAAAAAGAAAAAACCAATATAACTATACGTAAAAGGAAGAACATAACTATACTACTATAGAGAGAGAATTATGCAGGACAGGACGAAAGATCGTGGCAAATTTTTATAATTGATGAGGGTGAAGAGTTAGGAAATGATAAGTTAAAATCTAAAATTCATTAAATTGCGCCGCCAGGAGTATCATGAAAATTTGTAAGGTATGATACTGCTTATCCTATAAAAAAAGACGCGACTCACAACGAACTACGTGACGCTCGTCTAGAACGAGTGATGATATTAACTTTTTAATTGCTTTGTTGCACCCTTGTCGGGTGCGCGGAACGATGCGATTATAAATTTTTAATCTATTCTTGAGCCTTGGTTCTTTGTGATTTACAAAGCACTGAAATGATTATCTGAGAGAGTCGTAAACATAAACTTATCGCGCTCAATTCTGGCTTTTACATTTTATAACAGTGGAAAAATAATTTCGTAATAGTCGCGAGATTAATTACATACATCCCGTTTGATGTATTTTATTCGGATAGACGTGCATGAGAAATAAATTAATACAGAATATACGAAGAGCGCTTAAAGTGTCGATAGAAAGTTCTGTGGAATTTAAATCAAGATTGACGAAGTTTCGAAATTAATTCGTATCAAGCTTTGAGTCAACTCGTCGGACGCGACACGATTCTTTTACAGTGCTGAACTTATGTAATAACCTTCTGCTCATGAAGTCTCCACCACGATGTTCCTGATAAATATTAAATTCGAGCTGTTCCAAGCCGGAATAAAACGATTTCCATGTAGCATGCTGTCCTTCGATGATTTACACAACTGTGTATGCGCGTACCGTATTTAAGTATGTATGTAAAACTATTAATTTTCTCAATTTTCTTAGAAATAAAGAATCAAGAATTTTATTCTGCAGTTTTGACTTGTTTTAATTTACAAAAAATCATCTCTTGCCGGTTATATTATAATTTTGGGTATTATTCTGTACATATATTTCTTTATAAAATAACATCAGAGAAAAAATATTGTATTCTTTATATCTAGATTAAACATAATACTAAAAAACATATTTCTTTGATCTGTTTCAGTTGATCTCATACAAATGCTGGAGTTTAACTTAACTGTGTCTTTGCCAGCTGCTTCACTGTTAACAGTAATTTTGGCGTTAGTCGGTAAGTACACATATTTTTTGTGAGCTAATTTAATTTATTTTATTAGAATAATTTATTCTTGCTCTGTATCTTTTTTAAATTCTATAGGATATTTTTGTTTGCTTTAACTTTGTAAGTGTTAATGATATAATTGTATTATTCCAAAAAAGTATTTCTATAGGATTTTTGCAAAATCCATATGTTCGTCCATTTATTTGTCCTTTTTTAAAATTGCTGAAATCGAATATCTAATTAAAATTTTCGAATTTAACAGACGTAATATAGTGATGCAAATTTTTACGTAAATTTAATTGATTCTTTTTGAAAATAAACTGTGAAAATGCGTAACTTGAATTGCATAACTTATACGCAATTCAAAATATTCATAATTTTACATATCATTTAAAGTTTAGTTAGTCGAATAATATAATATTTATATCCATCAAGTTTTAATGTAACAGTTTTGGAATTTTTGCACATTATATTAGAATTATCTTTCATATTTTTTCCGAAAACAGTTTTTATACAATTTTTTTTAATTGACAATGGAAAGTGCTCTATTTTGGTTTAGATAACCATTCGAAGATAAATTCTCAAGTAAATATTTGAAAGTTTGGTTGCAAACTGTATGTATGAAATATTAAATATCTTTTTACGAAATCACAACTGCCCGTGTTGTGCTCACGTTCCCTCAACACTAGGACGTTAGCTCGGTTACAAAGCTGATTGGCCAGAACGGTTAACCCAGGATTCTGCATAAATTTCTGATGAAGGCGCAACAGTTGGGTAACCCGCTCGGAACCCATTTAGCAGCAGTAGCAGCGGCGTCTGTGCCGTCGCGCGACGCCCATTTCCATTTCTACCTGAATATCCACTTCACGCTTCGTATGTTCGTTGACACTAATGGTCGAATTAACCTACATAAAATACGACTAATTCTCGCGCTATAAAAAACATTGATAAAATTGGATTTACGATCTTTGTTCTCTTTCTGAATTGTGATACTTTTGTACACTATCTAGTTATAATTGTAATTTGCAATTGCTTGTTTCTCTAACAATAAGTATCTAATTTTACAATATCAACACAATCAACAGTGTGATACTTTTTTTATCTCATTTATCAATGATCTAGTAGCGTCATTGATAAACGAATTCAATGAATAGACATCGAGATTCTATATCAGATCTTAGGAATCAGAATTACATTCATTAAATTTTAATACAAGTAATCAATCTGATAAGAAATTTATTCATTTGTATGTATATCACTCATTACGCGGTCAACAATCGAGCAATATGGCAATAGCAGTAGTAAATTTCCGGATCCGCACTCTTGTTGCAGAAATTGCCAAGTATGTACAAAAATTGAGACATATATATGTACGTATGTATGTATATATATATCGAGTCGACGTAGTTGGAAGTAGGAGAAGGAAAAAGAGCCTTAGGGAAGTTGTTATCTGGAGTAATAGGTTCCGGTTCCCGTATCGCATCCTGCTCTCTATCCGTCATTCTGCGACTCTCAACCTTCTAACCTTCTCTCACTCCTCCGCCGCATGTTGCCTTCGGTTAAAGAAAATATATTGTTTCTTTTTTTTTCTAGTATTATTTTATGTCATTAAAAAAATATTTTTTTTATTTTTAAGATAACAGGCACCGAAAGTACAAAATAATATCGTACTATTAGGGGATGATTTTAAGTACTTCAAAATTTTCTGAAGGAAAAAAATAATTTTGGAACTTGATTTGGTGGAAGACTATTTTTTATTTTTTATTAAAATATGTATTGTACACAGAAGTGTGTAGTCTCTGCCGATTGATAAAAAGTGATTTATGGGCTCGAATTTGTTTGATGTTTTCCGACTCTAGTCAATAATCAATTTAACATGCTGGTGATCACGTTTTACTCGCTCGGTAGATACCACGAGCCGATCGGTTTCAGTATAGACGCATTTTTATGTTTTCTCTATCTGTGCCGTTTGGCTTGGTGCATTCTTTTTCCAATTTTTGCCTTTGACGTTCGTCATTGATGGGCAGTATTTCGTTTGGCGTTTGCTCGCGGCATCATCAGCGTGAATTCACGTCAAATCGTCCACGCGTCGTTCGGCATTTGGTGTCAGGTACGATGTGAAAGACTATTTTGCATAATGGAACGTCAAAGAACGAAGGCACACCGGCGCCTCTGTGCATCAGTAACGCATGATCGACCGCCTAACATGCTGTAAACACATTCTCAGAGACGGTCAGAACACGTTGCACCCATGTGCCATTCCGTTTATCTGCTTACAACATTGACGAAGCTGCCGTATACATATTAGCATATTTTGTACATGTGCGCATGAGCGCGAATATGTCAACGTTATGGATTAAAGCGGATAATCTTCGACACCGATGAAGAAAGTCTGTAAATTTTTCTCCGTCTTCTTGTGTCCCCAGAAATTTGAGAAAAATTTAGCTTTTTTTTCATACCAGATAGACTAGATCTATTCTACAAGTTGAAACAATGATTCGCATCGCGATAGTCGCAGGTTTACGTTCCGACATTCGTTCTTTCGTATCAGATGCGTCGATTAATGCAGGATTAACTGGCGAGTCGAGCGAGTCAAAATTTCGAGAATTAAATAAAATAACAATTTTTTTGATAACAAAAAGTTCTACACAGATCGCTTGTGTATTTATGACTATATGTGCATGATTCGCGTTCGATCAAAACCAGACACGTATGTTCAATCTTGGATCTGAGATTAGGCTCAACATGTTCGTAATGCTCGGTCAGCGGGAAATATTATGTCCATTAGATAGGGTAGGGTTCGGCTGAGGTTGCGCGCAATATTGGCAGCGACCGGGCTCTACTCGATGTCGATGACACGTGAACGATGGCCATATACAGTTGACCATTGATTAACCACATTATTAGCTATCGCCTCTTTAGAAAGCGGACGATGCACATTCGGATATTATTTCGCGTTGTGTCAGATATAAATTTATACACTCTACTGGATATTTCGCGACGAAATCGACAAACTTTGCCAGCCTGTTCGGGAAGTTGTTCTAGGCAAAAAAATGATATAAAAACTGTGAGTCGATTCAGCTTCGTTATCGGGATATGAGAAGTTTATTGATACAAGCTACAAATATTCAGACATATTCAAGCTATCTGATTTACATTTAATATTTATTCAATTGTCAGTTTGACATTATTAAAAAAAACTACGGAAAATAATTTTTTTTTCAAATAACAAACTCATGCGAGGTAATGTTATTGTTAATTGTATTGACTTTTGCAACTTTCGTTCTACATAATAATAACACATAGTTTTGACATATTTTTTAACATATTCCAAAATTAGGCGCTTTGTTGTCAGAGAAACGTTTGTAATATAAATTGCAGTGTTATCTGCGCAATTTTAAAACTGCACGAGATTACTGAACATCGATCGTAGTCACTGTTTGTCAAAATTGGGAGAACGAGAAGGTAGGAATAAAGTCGGGATTTCCCCCGTACGCGATCATCTAGGATACCATGTTAGAGGGTCACCTTATAAGGTGAGATAATGTTCGACTAGTATGCATTTAAACGAGTGCATTATCCGCATATTATCCGATGTTAACGATCCTTTCGGCACAAGCCGATGTGTAATTGATTCATGGATATTCAAGTACGATATCGTAGGATATCGCATTCGATTATTTTCACCTTAGCATATGTTGCTTCAGTCAAATTGCCCGAATATTATATCGAAATTTTATTTACACTTGCCTCACCGCAATGTTCGACATTGTGGACGAAAAAATCTCGATGAGCGATAGTTTTCGGAGAATTTTATAATAAGAATAATTCCGATTCTGAATTTGTTGAAAAATCTATAATAAATTGAGAACAAATTTACGGTAATTTATATGTTTAGGCAGGTGGGGTATATTTGTAAAATTTCTAATGTGAACATTACGTTTGTTACAATAGCGGTGTAAGTGAGTTTCTTTTCTTCGCGAGACAATCAGTCGCCTCGCTTTCTTAAGAAGTAATTTCTCACGTTGTCGAGCTACCACCGTGAGCGCTGTCAGACCACGTCTCCCGGTCGATTTGTACTTTTGTATTTTAGTTGTGTTGCGTACACATCCGAGATACGAACGACACGTTGGGTCGCGCTCTCATTAGCATTCTCGCGACGTTGTTTTCTTTCCGTCGTGTTGCGTCCGATCGAGAAACTAATTATCTAACGTCACGCCCTTAGTCTCAGGATCATCCATCCTCGCTGGTTGCGCGCCCGGGGTACCTTCATCTAGCACTGCCACAAGATCTGCCACCTCTCGCGTAATATATGCGCGTCCGCTCTCTTTCGACTTACGAAAACATTTTTCGAAAACCTATGTATATATGGCCCGACTGGATTTAATACTGCGAGACCACGCAAATAAAGAATGGCAATCGCACATGATGACGAATGCTTTTCTTCGGCTTTTACGATCGGCGTGTGCCATATTTACTCTGTCTCGTGCAAGCTTCATCGAGCTTGATGTCATTTATCCTTAACTGATTCTTATAAATCGTTACTTTATTTGAAATTCTTAAAATCATTTACCATATATTAAGTAATATATAAAATTGCCGACAATTTAAAGCAGAACGTTTTTTAATCGAGAGGCAATAATTGAAAGACAAATTTAATTTCTCGATTGGTGTTGATTAATTATTTTACACTTAACGAGTAATATCTAAATTTTGGATTTTTTTAACACTATAATAATTAAAAAAAAAAAAGATTTACAAGATATACACATTAAAAATATGTCTACACTATAATGTTTTTCTCTCGCGTTTTATCATGTTAACATATATAAGTGCTTGTAATAATATTAAAAGACAGAGAATGTTTTTTTTTTTAATATGAAATATTTCAAACAAAAGTAAAAGCACTTCTTTGATGATTATAACTTATGATATATGACTCAGTTATTTGTTATGACGTATTTTCTGTTTTCGTTTCAGGAATGGAAGCACTTATGTCTGAATTTTTCAATGATACAACTACTGCGTTTTACATAATCCTGATAGTATGGCTTGCTGACCAATATGATGCTATCTGCTGTCACACAGCTCTTACGAAGAGACACTGGCTAAGGTAAGTGATTATGATTAACTTTTTAATCGGAACATTTAATTAAAATGGATTACGTAGTGAATTTGCAGTAGTACTAAATAGCTAGTCTTACGTGTCGGATGTTCTATTTAACCTGCTAGCGAGCAGTCTTTTTCGTTTCAATCCGATAGTCGATTAAAACTGCTGCGACCATCTGTTCCGGCAGGCTTCTTTCGAGAGCATTTGAAATACTCCAAGAAAAGATTTTTTTTTTCAATTGCAATTGTAAAAAAAATGCACGTGTTTCTTACAACGGAGGTACAAAAGTATTTGTTTTATGTATAGGAATTATTAGCATAATGTTGCAATACAGATATCATCATATTTAAAAAAGTTAAAAATACATTTGACCATCTCTCATCTTTTCTTGTTTGATTCTGGACATATGCGGATTGTTTCAGTAAGAATATAAATAATCCACCGAATACATGCGCAATTGATTTAAATTTTTAATCATTAACGTATCTTCACATGATGCGATTAGTGTCGAGCTTGATAAATCGGATCGCTTCGTTGATTTGCGGCTATAAACGTACGACGATTGATGTACATTTCGCAAACATCGAACGGCGATACACTGATTCAACAATCCGGTTGATCCTACGCGGAGACGTCAAAGCGAGGATGAGCTGAGAACTTTGCAATAGAGATCAGGCTTTACGCTTGAGGTAGCTTAGATCTGCGGCAAGGGCTATACTGCGAGGCAATTTCTCTGGACGAACGAAGGGTTATAACGGAACATTAAAGACATTAGGTGACAATTAAACAAAGCCGTCGCCAACGGACGGACTTGCCGAAGAGTGCCGTGATCTACTCGAACACGGTACAGATTATATTATTATCAATCTAATTTTTATGCAACTATTCCAAGGTTTAAATATGTAGACTGTGTTAAAGATATGAAGTGAAATTAATTTTTACTCTCTTTTTATCGACATAGTCGTAAATTATTTTTAACTATTCCGATAATATTTCAGGTGAAAAAAAAATTGTTGTTTAAAAAATCTTTTACGATTATTCTTCGCTTAATCTTTAATTATTAAGTTTAAATGATCATTCTATTCGTCAAATAAGGTTTTTCCTATAATAAAAGAGAGTTTGTCTTCAATATTTTTTTCTGGCAAATTTTGTTCTTTGAAAAAAAGATAAAATTGATAGTTTTTTTTTGTTTGAAAATTCTTAATACATGACGAAACTTTCGTCAAGAGATTTGCATTATATTTTCGATATGTGTCGAGCTTACTCAGAGTTGGTGGAAAGCTGAGTTTGTAGTTGGACTGAAGATTTGAGATGGATCATTAGAACTGGTATTAACAACAATTAAATAGATTTGACGCCGGTAATAGTATTCGAGTCTCCGCGTGCTCGAATTGTGCATCCTATCGTATCGCAGAGTCTTCTAATAGGGGATTTACACTGAAGTATAATTAGGATCAATTCTAATCGCATGAGCGAAACAGCGTCTCAGGTAGGAGTAATCGAGATCGTTATCGAGGGCGCGCGATGCGTGTCTGCGAAATAAATCAAATTGTCCTGCGAAATGGCGTTTTCACTTAAGTAACGAAACGATCATAATATTACAATTACCTCTATGCGTTATATCAAAGTTTGGAAATTAAATTACGCTAAAAACTGATTAAGTATTACTTATAAAATATCGCAAATTTATCGAGAAAGCTCTTAAGTATTTATCTTTCGATTAGATTGCGATATCTAATATTATCAAATTGGCATTATAGCTGTTGTGGTAACTTGCTCCTATAGTCCACTAAACTCATTTTCACTACATTTCACGCTCGTATAATTGGACTTTCTGTATATACGACATTTTGTGTTAAACGCAGTTCTGAGATTAGATGCAGGTTGCACTAGACGTACATTACGGGTGCCGGTGAACACTATCTATCGACTGTTTTCACGGGTCATTCACTTTTAATTAGAAATTCGACTCCCGTTTACACACGGTTTATTTGATAGTCCGTATTTAACTCTTCTTACGATTTCACAATCGCTCGTAAATTAAAATCTAAGCGCAGACGGCGAGACGAATGCGTTGAATAAAAAAAATACGACAAACGTGTGTATAATAATTTTTATTATTCTGCATTCCAGATATAAAAATTTCGATCTAATATATCTCTGATAACTAAAACTTATTGATTTTGGAGACGGTTTTAGATGCTTGGTAGTTAAAAAGAATGTATTTTTAATTTAATTCGAACAAAGCTTCTTGCCAGGTTCTTGTATTTACTCTTTTTTCATCTAACATTTCTTGATAAAGCAAGGTTCTCATTCGATCCTTCTTCTCGCTTGTTTTTTCGTAGAAATATCCATTTTTATTGTGCTCATGATTGATAAAATACTACAATATGAGATGCGGAACTTGGTATAAATATTCTGCTACTATAAATCGTTGATACATACAATTGTAAATTGTTTTAAGAGTTAAAATTAATTCCAAGTGAACTTGTTGCGATCTCGGATGAAAAGTCAGACGATCCTTCATGAAGAGTTGAAATAAATGGATTGCCGAGTGTGATGGATACCGAGGTGTGTACGTTCTTGCGTTCTTAATCGTCAGATAAGTGATACGAAAACTAATACTCCCGGAAATTTCTTTTTAAATTAAATAACGGGATTATAAATAATTTTATTTAAATAGAAACTTCTTTGCGGGTAAATTTCTTAAGCGGAAGTGAAAAAGATACGATATTCAATACGATATTCACAGATATGTAATGTTTACAAATTATGATAACTTTTTTTGCACAATATTTAAAGTAACTACATATCTTTCATGAGTTGTTAGGGAAATAACATATTGATACTGCGGGACATTTATGTTGAGAAAAGTTAGTTTGGTGCCAGACGCGTAATATTTTTTTCATCCAATAGCATATTGTATGACTAGGTTTATGCACTGTTTCTTCGCACATGTAATTATCTCACCTTCTTAATGGAATTAGAATGTGATCACTTGATGAGAATGGCGACAGTGTGGACCAGAAATACAGAAAAGGAAGAAGTGTTTCGCGATATATCGAACTGCGAGGGTTGTCAAGAGGGACGTGTGCACTTTAGATCCGTAACGTAGACTCGGATACGCCATAGATAGTGCACGATTGGTTCCATTTCCAGAAAAGGAAGGAGAGAGTACTGTTCATCGCTGTCTTTCGCATTTCGTTTCACTGGCGTATCTAAAAGAATATGAAAGAAATGTTCAAGAGACGAAAATCGAGTATTAACCGTTAATAAATAAAAACATTGTATTATCAAAAAGTATTTTTATGAAAAGATACATCCGGCTTATTATCAATTCCTGATGTTATCTGCCCGTTTAGGTTTCGGGCATCTTTTGTAAATCATCTAACATTACTAACTGATACGTACAAATGCGTCAATTCAATCCTGAAATCGTCGAAAATCTTGAGAGAGTAAAATGACGTAACTGATGACAAATATACCATGCAAACTTGAAACATTTGACGAAGCCAATTACATGCATTAAATCGCACATTGTCAATTGATAAAATATTGGAACAAAATAAAGTTTAACGTTGTGGAAAATCCGATTTTCGCGAAATACATGTATATGATAAGATTTAATCTAAAAACTGAGCTAACACCGGCTTTTCAAGTTTGTGCAACAAGTAGAGTGTTCTTGAGAAGCATTTTCCAACGAGAAAGCAAACGCTTTCAGAAGTCTTCCAGTAAAAAGGAATAAGGAAAGCTCCGCTTCGGATGGACGGCACTTCCTATGACAATCCGCGGCGGTATTTATACGTAAAGGGGGTGGAAGAGTAGCGTGGCGCACGCGGCGCCATTACTATGCAAATAGATTCAGAGTGACACGACCAGAATGGGCTATACTACGGTTGCACCTAACTGGCGCCCGTCAGGACACCATTTAATAGTGTAGTTCGCTCGCACACACCACCGTGCAGTTTCCACAGCACCGCGTACCATCGGCTACCCCCCTTCCCCAATACGAGTAATGAAATTGTCCATGCGCGAACCGAACGGGCTACGAGGCGAAGCGAGGTGAGGCGACGCGATGCGGCGCGGCGCGGCGCGGCGCGACGCAACGAGCTTCCGCGATTGAGCGAATATATCGTTGCGTGCCTTTTGCGCGCCGAACCAGATTCGCGAGGATTTGCCGGAATTTCAGGTACACAAATGAGTGCAGGTACGCTTATTCACTCACAATGAAAACGCAATATGAGCAACACAACCATATTCGACCGCGATACGCAAGGTCGAAGTAAACGTAATGGTAATACGAACGATATTAAATATGCTGGAATTTCTAGCAGTCCGATGCTAGCGATACTGCTATGATGAACACATTCTAATATCGCGAATGTACAATTTTAACGAGAATGTGAAAGCAGATTTAAAAGACGAATTGCCATGCCCTGCATGGATTTATTTAGGAAAGAGTTGGTTTTTGTAATTTTTTAGGAAAACAGAATTCAACTTCAAAATAAGCACTTTGCATTAAATTTTTCAGAAAATTAAATTTAAAAATGTACTAAAAATAAAGATTTTTACTATATTTTAAAGCTTTTCTCCAAAAAATAATCTTTACAATTTTGTTTAAAATACTAATCTTTTTAATATATTATATTTTATTTTCTTGTGATCTTTTTAAGCCATTTTATTTATAGTTTAAGAAAAAAAAATTTTCTTAGTTATACTTTTGTACAGATCTTTTTCTATGAGAAAAATGCATTCTATGTAATACTGTATTTGTCGTAAGCTTATTAGAGAAAATGCTTCACATACTGTCCATAACTTTCCTCATAAAAAAATGAACATTCTGACACAAAGTTTACTGGTGTTTGCTATCATAATTTTATCTATATCTACGATTTTAACAAAAACAACACGGGGAACGTAATAATCTTGGAGAACAATTTGTTTCACTCTCTCATTATAAGCTATACGGGAGAAGGTCCTTCTAAAAGAGTCAGGATTAAACA